AATAATTTACTCAGGATTATAGTAGAGCGGCATTGCTGTTGGCGTTTGAGTAATTCTCAGTGGGCCAACTCCACTCGGGTCGGTTTAACCAGCAGCGCCCGATGCACCCTCCCCATATATCTGGACCCATTTCAAAAACTTTTCTTATAATATTTGGCACACTCACATCTTCATAATGAAGGTGAAATAAGCTGCCTTTCGGTTATCCGACACTAAGAAAGGGAGAGAAATCTTGAATTATTATTGAAAGGCTGAAACGTATTGGTTTGGGATCGCTTCCTGAAGCCTGTTTAACCTGCTCTTTCTTTCTTTTTCGGATCAAACATCTAGTGACGCACAAAATGTTCGTGGCAATTCCACATGCAGCAGCTCGTAATTCCAGTGACAATCATATTGGCCCGATTACGAAGATAACGCTAAAGATGCCGGGGCTTAGAATTTGTGCGAACGGCAGCCTTCTGTTTCCATCGCTGGCTAACATGGATTGGGTCGACGCACTAATTTTTTTCTCGAATGTACGAGAGTTACTAACAAAGTTGAGATATCCAGATGAACCGTTCAACATGAGGGCGAATACGTTTCAGTTTTTAATAGATCTTTGTGGGGAATTCCGCTTAGCTGGTCTCTTGCGACAGTATGACATTTCATTTATGAAATCACGTCACTTAGTAGTCGACGATCAGTAGGCCAGCATACTGGGAATTTCCACATGTTCTCCGACTTCTCGCAATCAAGAACAAGCAGAACGATTCCGGCGCCATCGTGCATGTTTTCTCACACCTCCGCGATATGGAAGCGTGTGACATTGTGTGCGCCGTTGCAGTGAAAGCCTTTGGCGTCGAAAACAAGTCAGTTCCTTGAGCCTATTCTCTCGGCAATATGCGGTCCCGGGAGAAGTTCTACGTAATCAATCAATAAGTCCTATTTCGCAGTGGGACAGTTTGATGAGTCCATAGTCCAAGAAGTAATTTCTCTTCTAATAATCTTACAAAACTGCATACTTTTTCCACAGCTTCCACCACAACAGGCGTCAAACACTTCCAATTGTGTTTTCCAGCCCTCTTAGCTGACATGATTGTTCACAAAATGTAGCGAACAGGACAAAAGCGGTTTTCCTACACGGGATCATTCTCCATACAAACAGCATGGACCCATGTGCTGTAATTAAACAGACTGCCCCCTTGCTTCTTCGCCATTCTGGTTGTGCAAATCTGGCGACGCAGTGACCAGCGCAGCTGGATATGCGTGCATAGCAAATGTATTAGGTTCCTGAGCGAAAGCTTCTCGACTTGAGTTGAAATATTGCTTTTGAAAAAGTCACAGGATGAGAAAACATGAGCCATGCCTTAAATAAGGGTAAACAAGATCAACCGNCGAGCAAACCAAGCTCCCACGGAACGTAAAAACCTCGCAGGCGAAAAGCACTCCCAGAAACCACAAAGACAGGAAGCAGACAACATCGTCCCAGAACCCCCTTGGAGCCTTGGACTCAGACTCAAACACGGTGCACAACTATTAAGTCTGCTAACCAGCCTGGTCACTGAACTCTCGGCTCCTCACCCTAGGAGGCCGCAGAGACAGTGTTGAAATGCTTGTACACAGACTGCCTCAGCCATTTCAACAAACTCTGCGATGCTAATCAGTCAGCTTGCCTTGATAAACCGTCCATAATCGCACCCACAGAGACCTGGCTCACACCAGATGTCTCTGACGCGGAGGTCTCGATAGACGGTTACTCTATTTTACGAGCTGACTCAAAACGAGGGAGGGCTGGTGGAGTTGCTCTGTACTTACATGCGGCCCTACCAATCCCGATTGTCCTCTCTGACACCATCCCTGCACCCTTTTGCGATGCACTGTGGGTCCAAATCCCGCTTCGCGGGTCCGATTCTCTTCTTCTCGGCGTGGTCTACCGTAGCCCTTCGAGTCCCCCTGAAGATCACCAATTCCTCATACAAACCCTTTAGCAACTCTCCTCCGGCTGCCACTTTACTCGGTTCCTTCTGGTAAGAGACCATACCTCTCTAATCACCCGTAAGGTCACGAAGCGACACCTAAAAGCGAACCCTCCACTGGTGGTGAGGACAAGAATTCATGTACCTCAAAGCAACCCAGCCGTAGTTTCGCCGCATAACAAGTTGCATTTGGTTTCTACGACTTGGTCCATGACACTCCTGGCAGCATTCAGTTCCGTAACTCTTAGCATCTTCTTATCGACCGTTCGTCTTTCTTCACATTTAGTTCATTATTTCTTATAATAGAACCAAATTTCCACGGGAGCAATCACGAATGAAAGCGCCTTGATACCGAGTCACAACGAAAAATTACTTTGTTTCTGAGCCGAGGTTGCGGAGCCAGGTTCACCCGATTATCAGAGTTCTCTCGCATTAAAATAAACTTTAATCAGAGATGAATAATTTGCTTGCAAAAGAGAAAATATGCAGGTTTGTAGCCCGTATAGGGTGAATAAACTAGCTAGACATATATTAGTAGTGCCCGGTAAAAAATAACACAGTGTAAAAATATGAAATCGCAGTACATTCTTGTCGGTCGAAATTATTTAGACTTCATCAAATGCTTGGAGACTTCATTGTGTAGATTGTGTTTACGTCCTATTTTTTATGCTCGCGCCCAAAGTGCCTGGACTGTGTAGGAAGGCTTCAACGCTGAGTTTAGAATTGTGAACTGTGAGCACGTGATTTTACCGCACCGGAAAATATCAGCGTTCTTTGGAATGTATGATGTTGCAACTTAATTTGGATCTACGTATGGCAGACGGATAACAGACAAAATCAGCTTACTATCTGGCCATCGGTGACCAATAATCGGTAGGTTTTAGTACGAATATCACCCAACCACAATAGAAGCAATCTGAATTTTCGCTTATTTCGAGCTAGGCTAAATTTGAAATCTCAATGCAAGTCTGCGCCCACGTAGCTGGTAAATTGGCGCGATACAACGTACATTTGGACAACGCAAATATCATTGCGGTCAAAAACAATTCTACGGGAAATAACGCGCAAGATCATGTTGTCTTCGCACAGTGAAAGTGGCCACAGTTGGATAACTCTGTCGCTCTTGTGCAAAAAGTATTTTACGGGAATTTTGTAGAAAAAGATGACGTGGTGCGATCAAAGTGATTTGGATTCATCTGAGGGTAACGAGACGAGAAAACTGTTTCCTTCAAAATCCTCCTGAATCAGCAAATTTGTAGAACAATTCTACAAATAATCCAATTTTTCCTAATGGCTGCATATGCATGGACAAGACCATTTGGACACAGTGTAGATGTGGCATACTTCTGATAATTACATTCCAAGTCACAAGCAAAATGTAGCGCATCGTTCGGTTGGGCATTTAGCGTTGTCAGAAGCCACAGAAACAGGCTTGAATAGTTTCAGACCATTGTTTTTGTCCCTGGCGTGGACTATTTCAATCACTGCAAATCACGCTGACTGTGTAGCCACGTACACGAGAAGCGTGTTGTGGTAGCTCAAAACTTCGGACTCAATGTATAATACATTCACTGCGAAAAAAGATGTTTAATCCTCACATACCTGAGAGCTGGGCTTGGCGTTATTTTGAACAACATTTTTTCGAAATTTTGTGCAGCACAAAGTGATCAAGCAGCTCATGATTTTACAGGAAACACTTCAAAATTATACCCTGGCGATTCAGGTGGGTTCCCGGTGAGTCTCCTGTTTTATCCAAATTGGCAAACCAATGAGTGCATTTTTGGGATGAAAATGTTTTTTATGCGCACTACTGAGGATTTGTCAGTCATCTTTCTGGGAGAAAACTCAACTGTCGATACGATCTCTATTCAAAGCATCTGTAACTTTTTTAAAACGTTTTAAAACCAGTCACTGTCACTGAGGAAGGGCACACTCCTCCGATTATTCAATAAGCTGCTTCTCGTATTAAAAATGGCAAATGAAGGATGCACTATTAGGGAAGCTCAATAAATTAGTCAAATTTTACATCTCACTTGCTAGTTTATTTATGGTCGCATGAGCTGTGCAAACCACATCCCTAAAATCATAATTAATTTGAATTATCTGAATTACTTTTCTTCATGTAAAAGACAAGCAGGATTTTACATTTTGTTGACAAAACTCCAAAATAGGAGATTTAGTAGCGAAACCAATTCTCGAATATCCGTACCGCTTTTTTCATCCAGGACAAAACTCGTATGCCAGATGACGTTTCGACGTTAAGGGCATTGGTTAGTGAATGTCATGGGTTGTATGATAAACATATCCAATGCGAGGCAGTTATCGAGAATGAAACAAATGAATAAATACTGCTCTTGTTTCTATACATCGCTAAGTGGTTTCAAAAATGCGTCTTAATTCGTTCACAACTCCAATATTCTTTGGAATTTTGCATGCAGTTGCGTCGGTAGAATTCTCAACAAATAATAGGTAAAACAGTGTTAACATTTCGCGTAAAAACTGAAGCAAATCGGTGGAGGGAACTATCAACAGAACACTAGAAGTTGGATGGAATAACCGGCGAACAAAACGTTACAAATTCACGCTGCATCTAGAAATATCACAATCTGTGAGTTTTCTGTGAATACTGTTATTTTTAAGCCCCTTCGCGTTTTCACTCTCTTCAGACCAGAAGGTCAGACGGATTGGACTATGCTGTTGGACACAAGTCTACCCTTCTCTTGGATTTTGGCGAGTAAAGTAAACGAACCAGTTGTCCAACAACCAGAAGTATGCCTCACGTACAGTGATAATTACATTCCAAGTCACAAGCAAAATGTAGCGCATCGTTCGGTTGGGCATTTAGCGTTGTCAGAAGCCACAGAAACAGGCTTGAATAGTTTCAGACCATTGTTTTTGTCCCTGGCGTGGACTATTTCAATCACTGCAAATCACGCTGACTGTGTAGCCACGTACACGAGAAGCGTGTTGTGGTAGCTCAAAACTTCGGACTCAATGTATAATACATTCACTGCGAAAAAAGATGTTTAATCCTCACATACCTGAGAGCTGGGCTTGGCGTTATTTTGAACAACATTTTTTCGAAATTTTGTGCAGCACAAAGTGATCAAGCAGCTCATGATTTTACAGGAAACACTTCAAAATTATACCCTGGCGATTCAGGTGGGTTCCCGGTGAGTCTCCTGTTTTATCCAAATTGGCAAACCAATGAGTGCATTTTTGGGATGAAAATGTTTTTTATGCGCACTACTGAGGATTTGTCAGTCATCTTTCTGGGAGAAAACTCAACTGTCGATACGATCTCTATTCAAAGCATCTGTAACTTTTTTAAAACGTTTTAAAACCAGTCACTGTCACTGAGGAAGGGCACACTCCTCCGATTATTCAATAAGCTGCTTCTCGTATTAAAAATGGCAAATGAAGGATGCACTATTAGGGAAGCTCAATAAATTAGTCAAATTTTACATCTCACTTGCTAGTTTATTTATGGTCGCATGAGCTGTGCAAACCACATCCCTAAAATCATAATTAATTTGAATTATCTGAATTACTTTTCTTCATGTAAAAGACAAGCAGGATTTTACATTTTGTTGACAAAACTCCAAAATAGGAGATTTAGTAGCGAAACCAATTCTCGAATATCCGTACCGCTTTTTTCATCCAGGACAAAACTCGTATGCCAGATGACGTTTCGACGTTAAGGGCATTGGTTAGTGAATGTCATGGGTTGTATGATAAACATATCCAATGCGAGGCAGTTATCGAGAATGAAACAAATGAATAAATACTGCTCTTGTTTCTATACATCGCTAAGTGGTTTCAAAAATGCGTCTTAATTCGTTCACAACTCCAATATTCTTTGGAATTTTGCATGCAGTTGCGTCGGTAGAATTCTCAACAAATAATAGGTAAAACAGTGTTAACATTTCGCGTAAAAACTGAAGCAAATCGGTGGAGGGAACTATCAACAGAACACTAGAAGTTGGATGGAATAACCGGCGAACAAAACGTTACAAATTCACGCTGCATCTAGAAATATCACAATCTGTGAGTTTTCTGTGAATACTGTTATTTTTAAGCCCCTTCGCGTTTTCACTCTCTTCAGACCAGAAGGTCAGACGGATTGGACTATGCTGTTGGACACAAGTCTACCCTTCTCTTGGATTTTGGCGAGTAAAGTAAACGAACCAGTTGTCCAACAACCAGAAGTATGCCTCACGTACAGAAATGTCGGATTGAGAGGTAGTTGGAATCGACTCCGAATAAAGGTATGTTTATTGTCTGTTCACCAACGCTGAATACGTAACAGACTCACCAAGTGATAGCAGCTGAAAAAGTGCTAAATTTTCTGGTCGTCAGGGAGTTCGAGGGCAGTCCGGACTGGGGTGTTCACTACGACGGTGTAATAGGTATGGCACCACCTAACGACCCCACAGAAACCTTCTGGTCCCAATGGAAGCGGTATTCAGGCTATCACAAGGCAGTTTTGAGGCTTAAATTCAAGAAGTGAGTGAAAAACGCCGTATATGTATTATTAATACTCGTTTTGTGTTACCAGTTTTTTAGTTTCTGGGCTGTTACTGTTTTCAACATTTTTATCTGGATTTATTGACAGGTACCTGCATGAAGCATTGAGTTTATGGATAGAAAATGCATCGTCTTTTAGGATTCCTTTTATTTATTTCCAAAATGGTATCTGCCTTCATCTCTCTATGCGTACGGAAGAGTAACCAAGAACCTGCTTGTTCGTCCTACTTAGAACGCATGACAGCCAGAAAATGCACCATAAGCGTCCAAATAAAGGCTTATTGAATTCCTTACGTTAACGCTGATAAGAAAGTACGCATTAAGATTGAGCTAGTTACAATTCTACCTTCGTTTGTGAAGTAAATCTAGATGGAATTCCCGCTGATTAGCATGAAGCCTTCTACAGTGCCTATGAGAAGTTCTCGCTGGCAGGCTCACGAAGCCTTTGTTGTGTAGGGATATTTATTTATTTAGAGCCCAGTGCTCAACGAAAGGCCAATAATGAATTTCGTCTGAATTGACAAGTATGTCAAACGAAACAAAGGATCGAACTTACTTTCTGAAAAGGTTCTGCCACTTACCTACTTTGACTATTGCCCTTTAGACCCTTCAGTGGTTTCATTGCACCTACCGTAGCAGCACAACGCTTACGAAACACAGAGAAACAGCAGAGGGTTGGTCCAAGACGTGGAAAGCTGTCTGACGACTGTCGAGCTAAGCTTGCAAATGGACAATATTGCACCTACCGTGGCAGCACAAAGCTTACAAAACACACCGGGATGACTTGAACTAAGCTTTTGGCACACCGTGTTGTCTGTCTTGTGTACAGAAATTCCTTCCAACTTGTCGTCACATCACACGCGAAGACCGCAGAATCATGCCCAAAGAATTGCCCTGTGCGTACACGCGCACAGTCACAATGCCTTCGTCGGTACACCCGAGGCAACTAGTGGAACCTATTTGCAGATTTTGCCAACACATGAAATCCATTCACTTAGGCGCTCATTGTTATTTCTAGCGGAAAGTTATTTTCGCCAGTAAAATTAATACATTCACCGACCAGTCCATGAAAAACCAAAAAGGCTGGGCAGGACATGAAAAACATGTCTCCAAAGGATTGCAGTTTACGCAGGCTGGATAAGTGGATGTTTTACACTTTTTGGGCAGGTTGTGTGACGAATTTCGGTGTACTGCCCATCTGTATGTAGATGTTTGTTTTCGGTTATGTGGTCGTGACAGGTGTAAACAACAAACAGTTACCTCGTGTTTCCACCCGAATTTCTTATACCATTTTCTGCACTGTCCTCAACCTCAGGGATAAAGAAGGGCAGGTAAAGTACAATAAGATGACCAGGGATGAGTTAGACCCAATACCTGCATTTGCCTGCGCTTCTGTGGAACGTTGGTCAATAATGGTTACCAGGTAAGTGGCCAAATTATTTTTATTTCAAGATTCCTATTCTTCTCATTCTGCTGTTGTTAGCCGTATTGGATACATCAGGAAACTTTGTTTATTCTAAATGGCACAGACCTAGAGCGTTCTGCGCCTCGCTGAATAATAATGCGGTTGCTTCATCCAAGGAAAGCGCCCACCGGCACCTCAGACATATACATTCGCCCATCGTTGAATGAACCTCTTAGTATCTGACGTACCCTGTGCATTTAACTGATGTTGTGCGCTACTGCCTGCTACCGATTACCAGAGGAATTCAAGAGATACTCTGAAGTTGGATGCATTTTGCGACAAATTAATGGCCAAGGTTTGATAAAGGACACATAACTATTTGTCATTTTACAGTATATATTTGGGCGCAACTCCTCTGTGCGTCGTAAACTGTGAGGTGTCGTTCGAACTGGGATTGGCGCGGGCATACTTACCGGACACAAGTCGAATCCATGTCCTTTCAGAATGGGCAGGTGCTCGATATGATACTACGAACAATGCGTTACATCTACAAGACGGAGTGCCATATTCGCCACTGTACATACACATTGGCAACACGGTCTACAGATGGAGGACGGCAGATCATACTCAACATGTGAGTAACGTATATTCAATCTTCTCGTATTCACCTGTGATGGTCTTGCATGGTAATGTGGCCAGAGATATTATCCATGCAAATTATCACACTTTTGTAGATTTCCAAGCAAACTGGAGAATTAATGAGATCCTATAAATCATAGGTGTTTCAATGACTTGTGAATACATCCTCTAGCAAAACTGGCAGCTCGGGTACCTTCATTCGGAATAAATCATGGGCTGTTGATCGGCAACATACTTGCCGATTATTGAGGGGATATACTCTAGACATCATTGAGTTGATGGCCATTCTCTTCGTAGTTGTGTTCATCTAATTTGCAGGGTACAGCTTTGGACCAAAACTAACTGGCAATTAGCAATCTTCGCACTTGGATTCCAAATGGCTTGATCCAAATTTGTGTTGCGTTGTGTCCTGGGGGTTATTGGTTTCGATTACCAAACTAGTGTGTTGAAATTGGCCTTCATCGCTCTCTCTTCCGTCTGCTCTGCTTGTGCTCTGTATGAGGGGGAATTAGATCATCGCGCTATCACATCACAAACAGGTAGATCAAGACGCGATACAGACTTTTGAATTTCTGGGATCAGCTGCTAATCTGTCGACATGACATAAGGTGAGAAACACTGACCAAAGCATTCCTTTCCAGAGTTGACCTCGCAATGCACTGAGCAGCGTCTTCGTGCATTTCATATAGGTGGCATTGCGAGAGCCACAAATAAGGGGGTCCCTCATATTAATACCGAATAATCGCTCAGATGTAGCACTAATTTACTGCCTAGCTGTCATGCCACCAGGAGAATGAACGACAGATTGTCCAACTCCAGGTGTAACCACCGATATACAGGCCAGTAGGTTCTCACACCAAACACTGTGATCGCTTAAACTGAATTGTGACACTTGGTCAGCATTGAAGTTATCATAGAAAAATCATAAACGTTTGCTCGCCGTAATTCGGACTATATAGTCATGAAGGACTAAGCGGTTTCTGTTCAAGGAGACCTTCCACAGGTTGCAAGTATAAATTCAAGATAAAATTCCTTCACTATATTGCGCGCGCTCATACATGTTGAGTCCCAGCAAAACCAGATGCCCCCATAAATCGATCTTTATTGCGCATCCTCAAAGCGTTTACTCATTGTTGGACAACCTGCAAATTTAAACTTAGTTAGATGAGGAGAATGCTGATAGTTCAGGTAGCAATGATGGTCGTTGGCTTGTTCGCGCAACCACCAACCCATCTGTGGGCTCCATCGCGCTCCCTAACAACGCACGGATGCTGTCACCTCAATTGTTCATGGAACGTTTACAATCCTATTGATTGCTTCAGCGGACAAACCAACGACCATCCAGTTAGTTAGTTAGTTAGTTCAGTCAGGATTGCTCGGTCCTTGTCTGGACACATGCAGTTTTTCATTAATTTTACCCAAACATGATGGCACATATGAACGTTTCAATGTAATATTTATTTAGTCTGACTATTTTACACACATTCACTATTTTTCACAGTATACCCGAGGCGGAACAACCCGCGCGATTAGTGCTTGCAGATTTCATGCAAAACCTTACTTCAGCCTTGGTGTAGACTTCCTCTACAAATTGATTTTATACCTGGATCCGCACAATAGTGTAATTCACGTTGAGCCCAATGCGTAACTCAATCAAATCAGTATGCGTTCATTGTTTGCTTTACCTGCTACACCTTGCAAAGCGTGTCATGCGTGTGTTTGCACAAATAAATCGTAATCGATCTATTGGCTCCCTTACTGATAGTCGCGTCCAACTTTCTTGCTGCCATGCTATTCGAACCCAAATCCCTGGACCATTTTCAAGCCGGAGTTCGCGCTTTATACAAATCCAATGGGATAAGCTATTAGAATCTGAGCATTCTGGCCCTGTAGTTCACTAGGTACATCAGATGCAGTGGAGAACAAAANGCTAACAACGCACGGATGCTGTCACCTCCATTGTTCATGAAACGTTTGCAATCCAACTGCCCAGTTCAGCGGACAAACCAACGACCATCCAGTTAATTAGTTAGTTAGTTCAGTCCAGATTGCTCGGTCCTTGTCTGAACACATGCAATTTTTCACTGATTTTACCCAAACATGATGGCACATATGAACGTTTCAATGTAATATTTATTTAGTCTGACTATTTTACACACATTCAATATTTTTTACAGTATACCCGAGGCGGAACGACCCGCGCGATTAGTTCGTGCAGATTTCATGCAAAACCTTACTTCAGTCTTGGTGTAGAATTCCTCTACAAAATGATTATATATCTGGATCCGCACAATAATGTAATTCACATTGAGCCCACTGCGTAACTCAACCAAATTTGTATGCGTACCTTGTATGCTTTACCCACTACATCTTGCTAAGCGTGTCATGCGTGTGTTTGCACAAATAAATCGTAATCGATCTATTGGCTCCCTTACTGATAGTCGCGTCCAACTTTCTTGCTGCCATGCTATTCGAACCCAAATCCCTGGACCATTTTCAAGCCGGAGTTCGCGCTTTATACAAATCCAATGGGATAAGCTATTAGAATCTGAGCAATCTGGCCCTGTAGTTTACTAGGTACATCAGATGCAGTGGCGAACAAAATGATCCGGGAATAGTAAACCTG